CATCTGATTTTGACCAGAGTACTGATGGTCGTTCCGCGATGGAGGCGACGATATCAGGGGTACTTCTACTGAGCAGTTTGGATCTCTCGAGTCGATTATATTCCCTAATAATCTTATCGTATTCGTTGCCAACCGGACGTGCGATACGCAGTGACTGTTGATCATCTCGTCTCATCGCATCATTCTGATTAAGTCTCTCCCAACTTTCTTTTCGAGCAAGGAAATTTGCCCGTCTAGCTCGAACATTCACATCTTCCTGAAATTTTTGCAATTATTTGGGAATTTTGATTAAATTTATGCAAAATGAGAGCATATAAACAAAATTCCTATGGCTCCATGAAATCTTTCGATCCCTTGAAAGTTTTCAAAATTTTTAAGTTGAAAAGAGGACAAAACGACCCATCAGAAGAACTCACAATCAGCTACTAACTTCATTCTCTGGTATCCATTTATTCGATCGACTCATTCGTTTGATAATCTCTGCATTGTATGCCGCTTCATCTGCTTCAATAACTTCTTTACGTCCATTCTCCTCAGGAATAACCGGAATTTTATTGGTTCCTGAACCTAATAAGGTGGATGATTTTTGAAAGATTCGTTCTGCTCAAGAACCCAACTAGTGTTCACTCATCTTCCGTTAAGATCCCAGTTTGTCATCTCACTTTTTTTGACTGACAGATCATATCTAATGATGTTCTCGTGACCGATACGGCCAGCTGCCCTGAACACTGTTTTTTGTTGCCTAAACGAATGAAGCATCCAATTTTTAGTGACGACTGAATATAGTTAGCGAAATTTGTTTTTGTTTTGCGTTTTTGGTCACAACGGTTATTTTGCTTGCTGATTCCACCACAACTACTCAGTCCGTTATTTCAGATGAGTGAATAATATGAATGTTTATGCTTTATTTAGGCCTGGCTGGTCCCCGATGCTGTGCAATTGTATGCGGTTCGGGAAAATTCTTCGCAGCTTTCTGACTGAGGTGAAGTTTATGAACAAATTTAGCAAGTCTCAGTTTCACACAGTCAGTATTGTTGGAGTTATCATAGATCAATTGAGTCTCTCATGTCAGACATTTGCATTCGGTAGATCAATGGGCCATTGAACTCTCAATGTGACTCTGCTTTCACTGGCTGAGCAAGGTGCACTCTATGCATTGAATGCTTAATGCGACCTGATAAAGACATAAAAGTGATGTCACTTTAGAGGGTGATTCGCAAGAAATGATTTTGAGATGGCAATATTATAGGACAAAATGATTTTTGTTTGTGAGTTGCATTTAGGATGTAAAACGAAAAACCTTTCATATTGTCAGTGTGGTCGATAGGACATGAGAGGCTTTGGATAGAGTTCGACTCGTTTATCTGTAAATACTTTTTGACCGTTAATTGATTTGTGTGTATGGATGAATTCAGGAAAACGATTATGAATGTGCATCGTACACCAACAAAAATCTTCACTCAATTAAGTTTAAGCTACCTTCACCGCTTAAAGTTACTAGACCGACAATGAAATTCACCAAAAAATTCCCTACACCTTATTACTCTCAAAAGTGTGACAATTCACCTTATCTAAACGTTGCCCTTCCACAGGTTCGATGGCGATATGAGGAACTGTTCCAGGAGAATAGAGTTCTTCAGCCTTCCTTTGCGATTCTTCCTTTTGCTTCTCGTACTCTGCTTCTTCTTCTTCGCTGAATGCTATACTTCTGAAATCAACTGAACTGTTCATAGCCACCATCAAATCGCACTGAAAGCACCGACTACCGAATAACAGGCGATACGATTGAAAGAATCTAAACTAATTGCAAAATTTCCTCCCAAATATTCCAATTTTCCTCTGCAAACAATCCAACTAACCAACAATGTATGACATTGAGAATATTTGTGAGTGGTATACAATGGTTTGATAAGCAATCATTGCGATATGAATCAATGAAGTGTTGACTGGTCGTCGATTCGCTGATTGATATGCATGCATTTATATTTTTCGTTTTATCAAACTTGGCATCAACCGAAATGTTATAAAACTTTTTATTTACATTCACCATGCATACATATTTGCTCATTCATACAAAGACTGCTACTTCTAAAGAATACCTTCAGTAATGTTCTCTATTTGTAGGGACAAAGAAGCCACCAATAAATAACATCTTGCAATACTGACCATACATGCACCATCAGTGAGTATACCCACAATTCAATGTAAACCTATCGATGAATGTGATTCAAACGCTTACAAATTGGCAGATTTTGCATAGTTAAGCAGCACCCTGTGTTGTTCAGGTGTGGTTTGTGTAACTGGTGGAGTATCCTTTCGACGTATCATCGTGACAGATAAATCTTTGCTCGTTTCCAGTTCATCATTGTCCATATCGTCCTAAATTAGGAAAGTCTCCATACGTTCTTCGAATTAAGTTATCAATAGCAAATTGAAGCACTCATCTCAAAATTGTACTGTAACATTTTTATTTGATTCATCAACCACGGTCGTAATGAGAAATGGAATGTTCTCATATCACTGATGTTATAAAAGTAATCGAATTATTAAGATAAGAAGTTATAATCGTTCACAACGATCACCTAAGCATAAAGGGCAAAACACATGAACATAATTCAAAAAAAACTTTCATTTACTAATTTGATATTTAGCGACAATAACGGTCGATTACAGCAAAAAAAAACTGATTGCGTCTTGCGGTAGTTATTTACGATGAATATTTACTTATCTCTATCACTAAAAATATCAGCAATGAACCGCAGAAAGGAGTTTTCTCAACGATGGAAATGAGATGAAATCTACGAACTGATTAGTTCATAGAGCTCATGAAGGAGCAGTGGTAGATTGGAATTTGCGGTATTGAACGAGTGCACAAAATTTGAAATGATATTATACAATCGACAGGCTTGATGGTAATACATATTTGGAGAGTGCTGATACTGGCTGCATCATGTTATAATTGCTTCTTACAACGATAATCATGCAGTTTAGTCACAATTAACAATCTGTTTCATTTAATGTTAATAAAATGAACAAATGAAATATTCAATTGCAAAAAGTGCTTCCAGTTTGTTGAATGCGTCGAACGCGCATGATCTTGAACAGCTACTGAATAATAGTTGTAGAGAGGTACTTGTTGAAATAGAATGAATGCGATCGTATTCATTACTGCAGATCACGGATAAGAGCATATTTGGATTGGCATTCAAAAACTGGATGCATGAATGTACATTATATTGAATGGCAGTGCTGATTGAGCAATACTTCAAAGTTCGTTTCATTGAAAATCAAACACAAAACGTTCAATAAGACAAAAGTCTCTTTTTGTACCCAGNAACTGGATGCATGAATGTACATTATATTGAATGCCAGTGCTGACTGACAATGAGCAATACTTCAAAGTTCGTTTCATTGAAAATCAAACACAAAACGTTCAATAAGACAAAAGTCTCTTTTTGTACTCAGTTAATCTCATTTCAAGAAAGTGTAACAATAACAATATGAAGAAAGGCGCAACAACGACTGATGGACAATGAAATAGCGAATAAAAACATTGATTTTGCTGAAAATTTGTATAAGCCAGAAGAAGGCAATGTTGGGCTATTGCAGAGTGTGTGAACAAATAAACATCAGTTGACAAACTTGATGAAAATGAAAGCAACCAGCCGGAAAGACGCTTAAGCAATTGGAATTTGTCGACTTCAAAATAGCCAAAAACAAGGATTTGCAAATCGCAAACAGCCAATAAGGTTAAGAAAATGAATGCATATAAGCGTAAACATAGCCTGGCTTAGGCTCGATAACATTATTTACATTGATATATCACTCATTTTCAAGTGAATCTTTCCTTTTCACTGGGAAACTTTTTGTTCCAAACAGAGTGGCGCATTGGTATCACTGATAACTCATGTGTTCCGAGATGCAACCGGAGACGAAACTTTGAGAAATGCGGAGCCGAAGCTGGAGCTGAGTCGAGTTTTTAAATTCGGATATGAGTGGACAAATTTGAGCAAATTTAAGTTTCAGATTTAGGTATAGAAACCTCCCAGGGGCTATGAATGATTACGGTAAGTGACCGGGATTAGAAGAGCAGAATTGATGTCGTACTGATACCAATGACACTAAAAAGTTGGCTCTGAGTTTGTAAACCACTCAGTTTTGCAGTTCATGCTTTAAAAATTTCTTAAGAACTCACATTCTCGAGGGCATAAATATAAAATGGAGGGCAACTGTGAAAGTTTCAAAATCCCCCACCTCCTCATGAGATTCCTCTCAAGGAATTCTTTCCCCGGAAGTTCCCGTGCATTCGCTGCTAAATTATTTATCAGAAATTGTCACGGTGGTTCTTCTTCCGAATATTAGTGCAGTTCAACCTAAGATGTCTGGATA